CCAAGTCTCTGCGCGAGGGAATGCTTCCAAGAAATAGAAAGAACCCAATTTAAGGCTCTGTGCAATTTTAACACGTGGCGGCAGTGGATTGGTGGAGTGCTGAAGCATGGCTAGCGTAGAATTGGTGCTGGAGCTGTAGTTTCCAATTTTGAATCTTTGACATATTTGGCATGTTTGAAATTATTCTTATTTTTATTTTTTACATTTTTTTAAAAAAATAAAAATAATTTGAAAACGGTGTTTGACACAATTAAAGATAAAAAATAAAAAATAAATATTTTTTTAATTTAGTATAAAATATGAGATAAATAAAAAATGACTTTTCAATTTACTTATTTTTCATTTTTTCACCAACTTTCCTACACATTTGAGGAAACTAAAAGTTATTAAAGGGGAAATAAAATAAACCAAACTAAAAATAAACAAGATTAAATAAAATTTCTAGAACTAGAATTTCACCAGATTAATGGCATTCGAATTGATTTCACTCTCTAATCGATTAATTGTAATTTTAATTAAATTGTTAGTCAAGTGCACTAAACTCTCTACTTGCCTCTTCCCATAAAACAAGTAGATACATTTATACTAACTATACTCCTATATTCCTATGAAGCATATAGTAGCATAAATTCATTAAGATAAGGCACTCATTATGACTACACATGTAATTATATAGATATATTCATATTCTATATTCACATATATTATCCTGCTATTACGTAAAAATTTAGAATCACTCTTCCATAATCATCAAAATTCCTATAATCACCTAATTATTTCATTTTTTCACCAACTTTCCTACACATTTGAGGAAACTAAAAGTTATTAAAGGGGAAATAAAATAAACCAAACTAAAAATAAACAAGATTAAATAAAATTTCTAGAACTAGAATTTCACCAGATTAATGGCATTCGAATTGATTTCACTCTCTAATCGATTAATTGTAATTTTAATTAAATTGTTAGTCAAGTGCACTAAACTCTCTACTTGCCTCTTCCCATAAAACAAGTAGATACATTTATACTAACTATATTCCTATGAAGCATATAGTAGCATAAATTCATTAAGATAAGGCACTCATTATGACTACACATGTAATTATATAGATATATTCATATTCTATATTCACATATATTATCCTGCTATTACGTAAAAATTTAGAATCACTCTTCCATAATCATCAAAATTCCTATAATCACCTAATTATTAGCCAAGTAATTAGGAGCATTAAATTCTTAAAAAATAGACAATATCAATTAATCAAGTAAAACTCAAATAAGAAAAAATAGAGTTGTACATGGGTTGGGTTAGGACGGAATAAGATTTTTTCTTATCCAGCCCCAAAAGATACAAGTTGCACATATTTAGCCCCAACGATATTAGAAAAATTTTACAACCCAATGATATTTAGGTTGAGTTGGGTTGAGGCGGGGCGGAGTGGGTTGGGTTGGGTAGTCAAGTTCATCATTCAAAGAATCAAAGTTCAATCCAACATTCAAAGTTCATTATCAAATAATATTGATTATCAAATATAAATAATAATAATAATCAAACATAACTTCAGTATTTAAAATTCACCATCAAATAAAAATAATATTGATTAGTCCATCATCAAATACATAGCAATTCAAAGTTCAATCAAACATTAAACACGAAGTAAAGTAGTCCATCCAACATCAAATATAAAACAAGCATAAATTAGAGGCTCAATTCAAATCTATCTAAAGCAAGCACTGTAACAGCAGCTATCCTTATCAGTCCACACTCATAGGTTCCTTATCAGGCATGTTTGTGCAAGTTGAGTTAAGATATGTGGGTTATTATAGATCCAACCCACAAACCGCCTCAAACACCTCAGGCCAGACATTTGGTGGGCTGAAAAATAAAAAATAATGCTATAAATTACCTTTTTCAAATTGAATTAGGGTGAAATAGATTAAATTTATAGGTTGTTCAGGTTTATGTACAGTCTGAGAAAAAAAAATCATCCAAAATCCATCAATAGGGCTAATTGCAATCCTAGATTAAAAATAAATAAATTAATAATCAAAATTACAGCTCACAGCCAAAGAAATTGAACAACATTTAAGCACAAATTAAAGAGAGTAAGGGTTAGAAACACTTATGGAAGAAATATCCCATCTTCAAGCTCTCCGGACATGTTCTTTTGGAGTGTGACTTGAGTGTAATTTTTTAGTTGAATTTGAATTATAACTTGAGTTGAAGTTGTAACTTGAATAAAGTTGAATGAAGTTAAATAAAGTTAGAACTTAAAAGAACGTAAACTTAAATAAAATTGTAACTTGAATTTAAATTTTTTCGTAAACTTAAATAAAATTGTAACTTGAATTTAAATTTTTTCTGAGTTTTGTTGCAAAATAACAACCCCTCCATCTCTCCTCCTTGAAATTGATTCTTTCGGTTGTCAAAAATAAAAATAAAAATCCTAAACTGAAACTCAAACAAAATCCTATATCAAAACCACTAGCTCTCTGCTTCGCGGAATGAAGCCCCTTGGCTCCATTAAAGAAGCTCTCTGGTTGGGTTCAAAAGCCCTCTTTTTTTTTTTTTTTTTTTTTTTTTGGCCCTTTTCTCTCATTCCTCGCACAGCTGGAGCGCATCTCCTGACCAAGACAGACACGCGATGGTGCACTATTGGATAGATGGAAGTACTGGACGAATGGCACACTGCAACTGGTCGAGCGCAAGGGTGTATGGGCGATTCGATGGGCCGTGGAGCAATTGATCAAGGGTGTTGCGGAGAGTGGCAGACAACCACATGACGTGGTGCACGTTGATTGGTCCAACCCCTGTTACTTCATTCGCTTTAATGCGCCTCCGTGGGACGTGGGCACTCTTGTGTGTTGGATGGTTCTGGGCCTCGATCTGACGATAGAGATAAAGGCACTGTTCATTTCGTTAATTCGAATTTAGAATTTGAGTTTTTTTATAGTATAAAGTTCTCATAAATAATCACATCTAATTTTTTTATTACAGTAAAAATTTTTTACATAAAATTACATCTCAATTCAAATTCTAAACTCGAATCAGCGAAGTGAACGGAGCCAAAAGAGTGTCCATCCTTTTTACACTCGTACGTGTGGGCTTTGGCGAATTCCAAAGCTTATTTTCTATCTTTTAACTTTTTCTTGATAAATTTAACCCCATTTAAGATTCTACTTTTCAATTAAGCCCTTTCACATATTTTAAATACACAAATAAGGAAAATTAAATTTCTAGGATGGGAAATAACACTATGCTTTCTTGGAGGGATGGAGAGAGTTGGGGTGACAGAGAGTATAAAAGATAGAAAAAATTTTAGTAATTCTTCATGTTGTTTGGTAGGATAGAGAGAGTTAAAAAAATTAATAATTATTTGTTAAATTACTATTTTGTCTATTAAAACTATTTGTTAATAATTTATTGAAAGAATAAAACAGTCTTTTAAAGTTAAAATATGATGGATTGCTTAGATCCATCCAATTTGGTGGGTCATGATGTAGACTACATCCCTCCACCTCTCATCTTCTTACTCCTTTCCCTATGACCAAATAATATATGGAGACTCTCTCTCCATCACTCTCCCACCTACAAAACATAGTGCAAATAACCAATAAAATAAAATAAATACAAAACTAAATAAAGTAAAGTGTCATTGTTTTAAATACTACAATAATTAGGTTTAAATAGGTTTGCATGGGCCTTCCATATATATAATTATGGACTTATCAGGGTGCATATATTGACACCTTTCATTCTACCTTTTATAT